TCATCATCAGCAGCATCATCATTATCAGCATCATCTTCCTCGCCATGGTTCTCGTCCTCAGTCCTCCGCCATTTCCTCATCCTCCTCATCCTCCTCATCCCCTTTCTCCTCTGAATCCTCCTCCTCCTCCTCATCCTCCTCCGCTTCCTCCTCCTCCTCCGCGTCTTCCTCCTCTTCCTCCTCGTTCTCTTCCTCACCCTCCTCGTCCTCCTCCTCCTCGCCCTCCTCCTCCTCGCCCTCCTCCTCCTCCTCCTCCTCCTCTTCCTCCTCCTCCTCCTCCCTCCTCCTCATCCTCCTCCTCCTCCTCTCCTCCTCCTCCTCCTCCCCCTCCTCTTCCTCCTCCTCCTCCTCCTCCTCGTCCTCGTCCTCCTCCTCCTCATCCTCCTCTTGCTCCTCCTCCTCCTCCTCCTCCTCCACCTCCTCATCCTGCTCCTCCTCATCGTCGTCATCATCATGATGATCAGCATCATCATCATCACCATCATCGGCATCATCAGCATCATCATCAGCATCACCATCGTCAGCCGCAGCAGGATCAACATCCTCATCAGCATCAGCATCATCACCGTCGTCATCAGTACCATCCTCATCGTCATCAGCAGCATCAGCATCACCACAATCATCATCATCATCATCATCATCATCATCATCATCATCATCATCATCATCATCATCATCATCATCATCATCATGGTCATCACCATCATCCTCATCATCAACCTCATTAGCATCATCATCATCATCAGCAGCAGCATCATCAGCATCATCATCGTCACCATGATCACCACCAACACCACCACCATCATCAGCATCGTCATCAGCAGCATCGACCAGCATCATCAGCATCGTCAGCATCATCATCATCACCAGCATCATCATCATCATCAGCATCATCGTCATCAGCATCAACATCATCATCATTACCATCCTCATCCTCAGCATCTTCATCGTCATCAGTGTCGTCGTCGCCATCATCACCATCACCGGCATCACCAACAACCACATCAGCATCAGCAGCTGCAGAATCAGCAGTATCTGCATCGTCATCGCTGCCGTCGTCATCGGCATCAGCATAATCATCATCATCATCATCATCATCATCATCAGCATCAGCATCATCATCATCATCATCATCATCATCATCATCATCATCATCATCATCATCATCATCATCATCATCATCCGCACCATCATCAGCATTAGCATCGGCATCATCAGCATCGTCTGCATTATCACCGCAGCATCATCATCACAATCAGCATCACAAACATATTCATCATCATCAGCATCGTCGTAATCAGCAGCACCAGCATCAATATCAGCACCGCCATCAGCATCATCATCGGCATCATCATCAGCAGCATCATATGCAGCATTACCAGCAGCAGCGGCATCATCAGCAGCAGCAACGGCATCAACATCATTAGCATCATCATCAGCCTCACCATCGACATCAGCAGGATGCGCATTATCATGATCATAAGCATCATCATCAGCAGCATCATCGTCAGCATCAGCATCGCCATCATCAGCATCATCATCAGCAGCAGCATCAGCAGCATCATCAGCAGCATACGAAGCAGCAACATCATCAGAAGCAGTATCGTCATCATCAGCAGCAGCACCAGCACCATCATCATCAGCAGCATCATCATCATCAGCATCATCATTACCATCATCATCAGCATCAGCATCAGCATCATCGTCAGCACCATCAGCACCATCATCATCATCATCATCATCATCATCATCATCACCGTCGACATCATCAGCATCATCATCAGCATAATCAAAATCATCATCCTCATCATCATCATCCTCATCATCATCATCAGCATCATCATCATCATCATCATCATCATCATCATCATCATCATCATCATCATGATCGTCCTCGCCCTGGTCCTCGTCCCCAGTCCTCCTCCATGTCCTCCTCCTCCTCCTCCTCATCCCCCTCCCCCTCTATATCCTCCTGTATATCCTCACCCTCATCCTCCTCCTCATCCTCCTCCTCCTCCTACTCCTCCTCATCCTCCTGCTCCTCCTCCTCCTCCTCCTCCTCCTCCTCCTCCTCCTCCTCCTCCTCCTCCTCCTCCTCCTCCTTCTCCGCATCCTCCTCCCCACCCTCCTCCTCCTGCTCCTCCTCCTCCTCCTCGTCCTCCTCCTCCTCCTCTCCTCCTCCTCCTCCTCCTCTCATTGTCCTCCTCCTCCTCCTCCTCCTCCTCCACCTCCACCTCCTCCTCCGCATCGTCCGCATCCTCCGCCTCCTCCTCCTCCTTCTTCTCCTCCTCATCCTCCTCCACCTCCTCCTCCTCCTCCACTTGCTCCTCCTCTTCCTCCTCCTCCTCCTCCTCGAACTCCTCGTCCTCCTCATCCTCCTCATCCTCATCCTCATCCTCATCCTCATCCTCATCATCATCATCATCATCATCATCATCATCATCATCATCATCATCGTCGTCGTCGTCATCATCATCATCATCATCATCATCATCATCATCATCATCATCATCATCATCATCATCATCATCATCATCATCATCATCGTCGTCGTCATCATCATCGTCATCATCACCATCACCATCACATCACCATCATCATCATCATCATCATCATCATCATCACCACCACCATCATCATCATCATCATCATCATCATCATCATCATCAGCATCATCATCATCATCATCATCATCATCATCATCATCATCGTCATCGTCATCGTCATCGGCATCGTCATCGTCATCGTCGTAGTCATCGGCATCGTCGACATCATCATCAACAGCATTATCATCTCCATCATCATCATCATCATCATCATCATCATCAGCATCATCATCATCATCATCAGCATGAACATCGTCAGCATCCTCATCAGCACCATCATCATCGTCACCATCGTCATCATGATCATCAGCATCCTCATCATCATCATCATCAGCAACAGCATCATCATCATTATCATCAGCAGCACCAGCTTCGTCATCATCATCATCAGCATCATCGTCAGCATGATCATCATCAGCAGTATCAGCATCAGCATCATCATCATCATCAGCATCATCATCATCAACATCAACATCAGCATCAGTATCATCATCATCATCATCATAATCAAAATCATAATCACCATCGCCATCATCATCATCATCATCATCATCATCATCATCATCATCATCATCATCATAGTCGTCATCAGCATCATGATCATCATCATCAGCATGCTCATCGTCTTTGTCATCATCATCAGCATCATCGTCAGCAGCATTTCATCAGCGTCAGCATCGCCAGCATCAGCATCAGTATCATCGTCATCAACAACGTCAGCATCAGCATCAGCATCATCATCATCATTATCATCATCGTCATCATCATCATCCTCACCATCATCATCAGCAGCAGCATCATCGTCAGCGTCAGCATCATCATCATCATCACCATCATCATCAACATCATCAACATCATCGTCATTGTCATCAACATCATCACTATCAGCATCATCATCAGCATCATCATCATCATCATCATCATCATCATCATCGTCATCGTCCTCCCCCTCCTCGACCTCGTCTTCGTCATGTTCATCATCCTCATCATCATCATCATCATCATCACCACCCGCATCCTCATCATCCCCATCCTCATCCTCACCATCACCATCAGCATCAGCATAAGCAGCATCGTCATCATCAGCAGCAGCATCAGCATCGTCAGCTTTACCATCATCATCGTCATCAGCATCACCATCATCATCGGCGGCATCGTCATCATCACCATCATCACCATCATCATCGTCATCATCATCATCACCATCACCATCCTCGTCAGTATCATCCTCTTAAATATTTTTACCCGAATCATCATCATCATCATCATCATCATCATCATCATCATCATCATCATCATCATCAACATCATCATCAGCATCATCATCATCAGCAGCAGCATCATCGTCAGCATCATCATCATCATCATCATCATCATCATCATCATCATCATCATCATCATCATCGTCATCATCATCATCGACGTCCTGCTCCAACTCCTCCTCCTCCTCCTCCTCCTCGCTTCCCTCGCTTCTCCCCCTTCCCTCGCCTTCTCCCTCCACATCCTCCCCATCATCCACCGTCTGCTGCCCTCCCTCTCTCTGTCGCCGCGGCATCGGGGTGGGATGGACCGCACTGCGACGACGTCCAGCACTCAAGGTGTGGGACCTGTCGGCCCGTCGAGGCACTTGCAAATCACGGAAGTTGTTAGTCCCCATGGCGCCCAAAAGCGAACAAAGCGTACACGTTGCATCTCCCTCACATGGCGCTGTTGGACGCTATTGGTCGTGAGTGGACGCACGTTGAGCGTTACTTGAACGCTGTTCGGCGCTACTGAGCGCTATTAGGCGCTATTCTGCGCTCTTGGGCGCTGTTCGCCGATCTACATTACCCAGGACGAGGGAAGCTTCCGCGATGTACTATCTAACACGTTGCGGTGTCAAAACGGCCCGAGGGCTGGAGTAGCCTCCGAAATCCAAGACGCGGTCCTCCTCCTGCTGCTGCTGCTATTGCTGCTGCTGGCTGCTGTCCGTCGTGGTCGCCTTTTCGGAGGCAGGCCGATCCGTTGGTCCACGCTCCATCATCCCCTGGCGGCGAGAAACAGGCAGAGCATGGCAGAGTCCAGGGGGCCCTCCGCCTCTCCTCTGCCTCCGTCCCAGGGGCCTCCTCCCGCAACGAGCACACTTGGACGGGAAGAGATTTTGTCAGCCCCGAACGTCGATCCTCCTCGGTTCCTCGCTCCTCCTTGGTCCTCCCCCCCGAACCTCGAACCTCCTCCTCCTCCTCCTCCTCCTCCTCCTCTTCCTCCTCCGCTTCCTCCTCCTCCTCCTCGTCCTCCTCCTCGATCCTCCTCGATCCTCCCTGGTCCTCCTCATCGATCAGATTCGATCCTCCTCCGTCCTCCTCGGCCTCGATCCTCCTCGGCCTTACCCCTCGATTCTCCTCGATATCCTCCGTCGACGCGCCGCCGCCCGCCGCGTGGGGGAGGAGCCCACCCGGGGGCCTTCCCCGGCCGCGGAGCGCGGCGTGTCGACGCCGGGGATGGCCTCTCGGGGCGGAGGGGGAGCAGGGGGGATCGAGGATCGAGGAGGAGGAGGGAGGAGGAGGAGGAGGAGGAGGAGGAGGAGGAGGAGGAGGAGGAGGAGGAGGAGGGAGGAGGAGGAGGAGGAGAGGAGGAGGAGGAGGAGAAGGAGGAGGAGGAGGAGGGGGAGGGGGAGGAGGACAAGCCAGGTGCGCTCGCGTCGTATCCGACGTCCTACCGCTCCCTCCCATCTTTTGCCATGGCGTAACTCTCCCCTCTGCTTGCACGGTCGGATGTCGAGCACGGCAACGATCGCGAGAGGGTGCGCGACGCATCGTAGAGCACGGCATGGCATGGCGTAGAAGAGCACGGCAGAACGTATCATGTCATAGCATGGCGTGGCCTTGCGTAGTGGAGCATTGCACCACAAAGCATTGCAACGCAAAACTTGGCATCGCACAGCGGCGCAAAACAGAACACCGCACAGCATGTCATGGCAGGGCACCGGGTTCCTTGGAGGGTAAGTGGATAGTCTTCGAAGGGTCGGGGCTGGTCTGGAGTCGCGGCTCCATGTTTAGCTCCGTGGGCTCCGCGACAAGCTCCCCACAAGGCGGGGCTGATGGAGAGCATCCGCTGGCTCTGCTTGCAACATCGCCTTCTGAAAGCAGAGACGGAGCTCCCGCTTGATACTTCCTCCAAACGCCGCCGCTCCGAAGTGGGGGGGAGGCTTTTTGCGGCACAACAAACTCAACGAATGGGCACCAGATGTGTAATCACTTCCGATGTTTTTTTCCTGGTGGTAATTTTCTAGATTTGGGGCCTATTTGGAAGGACCGAGAATGCCCGCGCTGCACTGGGAGCACGTTTTGGAACAACCAGAGGCGCAGAAATGGGCACAACGCTGCATCGGGAGCACATTGTATATATATATACACACACATACATGCATACAGACATACATGCATACATGCATGCATGCATGCATGCATGCATGCATACATACCTACATGCACGCATGCATGCATGCATACATACATACATGCATGCATGCATATATACATATACATGCATATGCAAACATATAGCTATATATATAAGTACACATGTATACATACATGCATACATAGATGCATGTACATATACATACATGTGTACATACTTGCATGCATGCATGCATGCATACATACATACATACATGCATGCATATATATACATACATACACACATACATGTATACATACATGCATGCATGCATGCATACATACATACATGCATACATACATGCATACATACATGCAGAATCGCACATGCCTATATATATATATTACACATAGATGGTAATGAATCTAAACACACACACACACACACACACACACACACACACACACACACACACACACACACACACACGTATAACTGTATGTATAGACACACATGTCTATACAACATATAACAGCACCCGAAATGTTGTGTCAAAAAAGGCGGATGGGACCGAATATCTTCCGGACGTCATCAGGGAAGAGAGACTGAGGATTCGTACTCTGCAATTGTAGAGATAGGGGAGGAGGAGTGAGGGGGAGGTAGGGAGGTAGGGGAGGGGGAGGGAAGGGCGGGGGCGGGAGGGGGAAATTGAGGGACGGACGGGGGAGGGGGAGGGAGGGGAGAAAGGCGAAGGGAGCGAGGGAGAGGCAGGAGGACGGGCGGGGAGGATGGAGAGAAGGAGGGAGGGAGGGAGGGAAAGGGTCGGGGAGGAGGGAGGGGAGGACAGGGGAGAGGCAGGCAGAGGCGGAGTGGGAGGGGGGGAGCAGGGAGGGAGGGAGGTCGTCGTGGTCGTGCTGCGACGATCCCGAAATGCCTCGGGCAAGACGCTGTTTTGCGCACCCCCTCGGAAGGTCGGCACACGGCGGGAGCCCCCTCGCAGGAAACAACGATCCTTGCCTGTATAAGGTCGCAAAGCGTGCTATTCAGGCGCACGTCGATGACGGTGTAATGCGATACACCAAGGATCGCTGCAGCAGGGAAGCAGGGGCGGGGAAGGGAAGCGCTGTGCGGGGACGGCTCCAGCGTGGGGGAACTGGGGTCCCTTGAGCCCGCTGACAACGGGACGGGCGGAGTGACACAAATGCTCTGTAAGGAAGCTGCCCACCCCACATGAGCCCCGCCTCCCGCAAGGGCGGACAGCGGCGGCGACGGGGACGACGACGCGTCCGACGCGAGGCAGGGGGGATAAGAAATTGGGTGAGGAAGAAGGGGCAGAAAGAGGAGGAAAAGGAGGGGCAGAAAGAGGAGGAAAAGGAGGAGAAAGAGGAGGAGGAGGAGGAGGACGAGGAGGAGGAGGAGAAAGAGGAGGAGGAGAGGAGGAGGAGGAGGTGGCGCGGGGAGGAGGGAGGAAGGAGGGCTCCGCCCTCCCATCCCATCCTGGGGGGCAGGGAGGGGAGGGATGGCCTGGCCCAACCCATCCCTTCCCGGGAGGGTCGGAGAGAGCGGGAGGGAAGGGCGAGGGAAACCAGATAGTGTGGGCTGCTGCAGCTCCATGGCGTTCGATGTGCGCCCTCACACCTCGAGATTCGAGCCCAAAACCAACTAAGGGAGGAGGCAGGGAGCGGAGCGAGGGAGGGGGAGGGAGGGAGGGCTCCGCCCCTCTCCTGCCCCGTCCCTGGGAAGGCGGGAGAGATGGGACAGGGCAGGGAGGGCGCGGGAGAGCCCAGAGCTCGGGAGCAGGAGAGAGGGAAGGAGGGCTCCGCCCGGCGGTGGGGAGGGGGAGCAGGGCTTCGAGCAGGGCTTCGGGCGGGCTTCCGGCAGGGCGCAGGGCCCCCGTCGTCGGACCTGCTGTCCCATGCGGGGCCCCCGAGGCCGGAATCCCCCAACCAGACCCCTCTACGAAATCTCACACGCAGCCGGGCGGACCCGGCCCGAGGCCAGGCAGCACGCCGATCGCTCTCACGGGGTCCCCTCGGCCGAACGGGCCCGACCAGGAGGAGAGGTGATGAGATGAGACAGAGCCCTGAAGGCGGTTCGTCGAGGCCCAGTCTAGGCCTCCCTCGGACGCCTCGGAGAGAGCCGAGGCGTCAGACATCTCGCCCTCCGCGTCCTTTGCGCAGAGGCGCCTCCCCAGTAGGAAGAAGGGAGAGAGGAAGGAGAGGGAGGAAGGAGGGTGGGAGGGGGGGGGGGAGAGGCAGCGAGGAACGGCGGAAGGCAGGGCCTGGGGGGTGGGGGGGGAGGGGGGGAGGGAAGGGAGAGCAGGGAGGAGGGGAGGGAGGGAGAAGTAAGGAGGGAGGCGGGGGGGGAGGGAGGCGGGGGGCAGGAGGGAGGACGGAACACGGAGGAGGGAGGGCGGGGAGGAAGACTTCGCGTCGTGCACGCCTGCAAGAGGGCAGGCCGCCGGAGCGACTGCAGCGGGCAGGACCAAAGCGGGCGCACGGGGCCCCGTGCCGCACGAGGTTAACATCAGCACCAAGATCGGCGGTGTGCCTCAAACGAGGGAGGATGCTCCCGATCTCGGTAATGGTGTCAATGTTCGGACTTGGTAGGTGGCAGAATCATTGCCACCAACACTAGAATCTAGGGTCATGGTTTCCCCAGTGAAGAACCCCCCTTGTGTTGGTGTTGGTGCCCACTTTCAAGTCTCCAAGAATAGGTTCCCCTGCCCCACCGCATGAGCCCAAGGTAGTCCTCAGGTCAGCGTCTTGACTGCACCGGCGACTAGAGAAACAGACAACGGCATCAGCAAAAAGCTTCGGCTGTTGGACCTCGTCAACATCGTCGTCGTCGGCGGCGGCGGCGGCGTCGTCGTCGCCGCCGCCGTCGCCGTCGCCGTCGCCGCCGACGTCGTCGCCGCCGTCGTCGCCGTCGGCATTCTCGTCGTAGCGATCGCCGCCATCACCCCCATCAGCGCCTGCATCGATCTAGGGCTCCCAACTTCGCGCTTCGCGCTGCGCGAAGCGCGAAGCGCGAATAACTTCGCGCTCTCGCGCCGCCCTCCCAAAGGGAGAATAGGAGGACGAGGAGCAGGGGGAGAAGGAACGAGGACCGCGAAGCGCGAAGCGCGAATAACTTCGCGCCCTCGAGGGAGCCCTTGGTCATGTGAGAGCTGCTCGCTCCATGCTGATCTCGTGCCGCTCCGCAGGGTGAGCCACGGCGGCGCAAGAGAGAGGCAGACGGGGCGGGCGAGGCGGGCCCCAAGCGCGCGAGGCGGGCGGGCGGGCCCCCACGAGCGGGCCGTGCGGGCGGGACGTCCACGGAGGCCTCCCAAACGTCCGAGCAGGTGGGGTCGGCGGGTCGAGCCGCATCGCCGATGCATCACCAGTGTATCGCGGCGATGTGTCCGCGAGCCTGGCGACGCGTCGGCGACGTCGGTGTGGAGAAAGTCGGGCTCCACGTCGAGGCGCACCGCCGATGCATCGGCGCTGCGGCGCCGTCCTCCGACCCCACGGACGTCAAAACAGGCGGGCGGGCTTCAAGGCAAACGCACGGGCGCACCTAACTGGCGGGTCGGGCGGGCGGACCCGGACGGGCGTGCGAGAGCTTCGAGCAGATCGTGAAGGAGTCCCAGGCGAGAGCGCGAGTCCTACGGACAATGAGAGGTCCGGGGCGGAAGTGGAAAACGTAATTGGTGAGTGCGGGATGGTTGAAAACATTCCGAGGGGGTCCCAGACGAGAGCGGATTCCTGAGCGGCGAGAGCGCATATGTTACATGCCCAGTGGGAAAGACCCGGGCGAGAGCGCGATTCCGCAGTGAGTTGCAAGGAAAGTATTGAGCGCCTGATGCCTGAAAACACTGTGAGGAGGTATCAGGCGAGAGTCGTCGTTGTTGTAGCCAGGGGGGGCAACAACGCAGTTTGAGCAGGAAGCCCTTCCCTGACACAAACCGGGGGCGAGACCCGGGGCGGGTGGGCACCTGCATCGAAGAACATACCATGGGCCCGCGTGTGGTGAAATCAACATCACATGTTTTTACCGTCCATCCCATCCTCCCCTATCCCATCCTATACCATCCTGTCCTATCCTATCCCATGCTATCCTAGC